TACTACACCCAGGCTTCTCAGAAAGAGTCTTTTTTTTTTTTTTTTTTTTTGAGAAGTTTTTGCTATTGGGCGCGTATGCTCGCCAGAAAGACAGAGACAAAGAGACAGAAAGCAAGAAGTCACAAAATAACACTCCGGCGGGGATGGCCATGCCACAATCCCTTCTCCTCCACTCTCTGCTCAGGATCTTGGGTATGTACGCACCTGCAACCGGTGTGAGTTTAAGCCATCGGGTCCAGAACTCAAATCGCGGTCAACTACATGGGAGTCCAGCGATATAGCCATTATGCCAACTGCTGGTCCCTCAGACAGAGTCTTGATGTTCATGCTAGCCTGGGGCTCGTGAGCCTCCTGCCTCGGTCTCACTGATCACTGGGAATTACATGTGCCCGGCCTTTAGGTTGGACTGGGATTCGAACATGGGCCTCCCATGGGGTTCCAGCCTGCAGCAGCATGTGCTCCCTCAGCTGGGCTGGGGCAGAGCTTTCAAGGGCAGGACTTCGTTGTTGACCCTATTGCAGTGTGTAGGCACCTGGAGCTGCTCAGTAAATGCTTGCTGAGTTGATGACTGGACAGAGGATGAAGTTTCAGAGGAACAGAATTTATTTACAACTTAAAAAAATGATACCAGAAATGCTTATGAGAAGATTAGAAAATATCAGTATGCATAAAGAAACCCATTGAAGTGACCTATTACATCACCCCTAGAACTAAGCACTCACGACCCTTCACACCCAGCTTTGCACCATCAGTGCTCACATATAACATACACTGATGTTACTGTTTCTGCTTGTGAAACGCATGCCCCTGGCTTTTACCGTGGTCCCAAGCACATTTAACAGGCACACTACCCTTTCTATGCCACACAGTGGGGATGGAGACAGAAACAAGAATGGCAGCTTACCTGATGATCAGAAGTGGGAGTAACAGCTCTTGCTTACAGTAAAACTCAGAGAACACTGGAAAAGGGAGGGAGCACGAGGGATGATGCCGCAGGTGTCCATCTTCAGTGGCGCCATCTCCAGGCAAGGCCTGAGCCATCACCTTTGCACAGCCCGATCCCTATAGGCCTTCCATTGTGCCTTTGTCTGGGACCCCAACCTCCATTCTGGCCCCTTCCTGCTCTTCAGTAGAGAAGAGGGCCAGATGGTAACAAACATGGCCAACAGGTTCACATCCCAGTCCATCAGCTGACTGTGATGAAGCAAGTCAACTTGCATGGGTTCCATGGCAATGGGTCTCCCTCTTTCCTGTGACTTGGCAGCTGCACGTATACGTGCTTGTTGGGATATCCAGACTGCATAGCGTGTAGACTCTGCCCCGACATCGGAACCCAAAGGCCCAGCTTCCCAGGGTGTGGTATGGGGTTGGCCCTGCCCTCTCTAGAGTCTTTCAGCTTCTCTGTAAAGTGATATGGCCAGAAATGATCTTGGTGGTCCCTGTGGAGGGTCCAGGCAGCCCTGGATACTCTGCTGTTTGGAAGAGGCAGGGCAGCTGGGAGGAAGGAGTAGAAGCCATGGGTCCACATTGTGGGGAGACTGCCTTTTGCCAGCCTCAGCTTCCTCCTCTGCAGGAGGGCCATGACAGCCTCACACACACATGGCTCAGTTGTGTTTGCAAAGGCATGAGGAAGGTGCTGGGAGAATGCAGGGACAGGGACTGAGGGTCCTCTCTGCATTTCCTTTTAGTCTTTGCCTCATTTGTCCTTGCCTGAGGCTCTGCCAGGAAGACATTGCTGACAATTGTTGGCTAGTGACTACCTGCAGTTTGAGGGGCAACTAGACCTTTGTCTTGATGGGCTCTGGGCTGGGGTTTGCAGAAGTGCCGAGTCAGAAAGGGCCTAGCTGAGGATGACCATTACCCACTCTGTCCCTGCAGAAGGAAGGGGAGTTCACCCTGCATGGCCGGGCCATCCTGGAGATGGAGCAGTATATCCGGGAGACTTACCCTGATGCTGTGAAGATCTGTGACATCTGCCATAGCCTCCTCATCCAGGTACTGGGCGTACTATGGGAGCGCACTGTGGGCACACCTGCTGTCAGGGCTCAGCACCACCACATTCTGCAGTTCTGCCCTCAAAGTGAGCTGATGGAGGCCGCCTCCACGGCCCTGTGCTCACGGCTGCCCTCGCAGACGCACCCTGTCCTCCTGGTGCTGCTGCTCTGCTCAAGAGCGGTCGTTCACTTTCCTCTTTTATGTAACCTGTGTCATCGTGGCAGTTTTGTGGTGAAGGGTGTGTGTCTCAAGCACTGGTTTCTGAGGCCTGTCTCACACTGCATGCTTTGCAGACCTTTCCAGCCATCGAGTCAGTGCTAGACATTCGTGTTTCCTCCTCCTCCGTTTTTATCTTTTTGTACTTGCTGCCCCTGTGATGGGCTTCCTTGCACATACGTGGGGTCTTCAAGAAGTTATTGGAAGTATGTATTATGAAAAACTGTGGGCCCAGCTGGTGACCTGCTGGTTAAGGCAGCTAGAACCCACATGTTTGACTGCCTGGTTTGCGTCCCAGACCTGGCGGCCAGGCATGTGTGTGTGCATGCCCAAAATCCTGAAAGGAGGGAGGGATGGAGGAGAAGGGTTTGCGGTGTGACCATGTCCTATGGGGATGTTTTCTCACTTTCCTGTTCTCTGTCTCTCTCTGGCAAGTGCATGTGCCCTCTAGCAAATAAAAAATAAAACAAGGAAAAATAAATGAATGCATCTCAAAATTTTTTGGTACTGAAATAAACGTATACTTTAATTTCATTTTTTCATGAACTTCCAAAGTTCCCTCATATATCCTTGGGCGCCTGCTGATTATTCCCTTGGGTCGAATTCCCAGAGGTGGAATCTCTGGGACAAAGTGTGAACATTTTTGGTTTTTTAAGCTTTTAATCCATATTGTCAAAACTGCCTTCTGAAATCCTGTTACTGTCTACACTGTAGCTGCAGGATCCGATTGCAGGGGGCTGAGAGCTGCCAGGGTGGCCTTTAATGACCTCAGCTGCTCCCGGCTGGGTTCATTGGTTCAGAATCCCTTAGTAGCCCACTGAGCGAAGACTCTGGGGTCTTGGTCAATATTAATTTGGGAAGAGAAAACTGTACAGCCTGCTGATCATCTTTTGTGCTGCTTCCTTGAGGTTTGTGAAACCCAGGGCTATCTGAACATTGTCCTTTCTTGTTTCAGGGTCAAAGCTGCGAAACCTGTGGGATCAGGATGCACTTACCCTGCGTGGCCAAGTACTTCCGGTCGAATTCCGAGCCACGCTGCCCGCACTGTAATGACTACTGGCCCCACGAGATCCCAGGTTTGCAGTCTCCAGGCGCTCCTGGGAGGGGCTGGATTGGCAGCTGACCGTGTGCCCCTTAGTCCTGCTGCCTGGCACGGAAAAAGCCCTTGCAGATGAATGTGCTGGTGTTGGTCTGTGGTAACAGGCCTGAGCTCTGCAAGGAGCAGCTGCTGCAGGAAGTGCAGGGCAATGTGCTTGTGAAATTCCAAAGGGCTTTCTGGAACTCAGTGTGTGGTTCCAGGGCTCATGAGCTTCAGGTCTAGACAAGGCTGTCTCTGGCAGCCATCTCAGGAGAGGGATGGAAGCAGTGTCCGCAGCTCCCTGACTTGTTCCTTGGTGAAATAGGGCGATTAATAATTCCTCCCCCCGCAGGTGGGGGGAGGGTCAGCAGTGCAGAAGGTCACAGACACAGGACAGAGCCCTTGGCTCAGGAAGCACTGCGGTGGACGTGAGCGGTGGTGCTGTGTAGCCAGCCTCTGCCACTCACTGTGTCTTCTGGCCTTTTCTGTATACAGAAGTCTTCGACCCTGAGAAGGAGAGGGAGGCCAATGTCTCCAAGTCGAGCAAAAAGTCCTCGCGGTCCAGGCAGCATTAGCTGTCGTGCCTGTGAAGGGCTGCTGCCTTCGTGACCTGGCCAACGCAGCCCTTTTTGACAAGAGGTCGAGTTTCAGGTTTCGCGTGGGTCATCTCTGCCTTTATGTTTGTCACTGCCATTTTCGAATAAAACTATCTGAAAGAGTTGCTGCCGCCTCAGTTTGGTCTTGAGCCTATGTGTGAGGCTGCGTGTCATGGCTGTTCCTTCTTTCTTGGAGTTCACCTAAGAACTCAGACCTCTTGCTCTGGGTCTCAGCAGGGGAATCTCATAGAGCCCCACCTCACTACCACACACGCTGGCCCAGGGCAGCTCGCTTTCCGTGCTCAGCCCAGCTTCGGCCAGTCTTCCCAGCAGGACTTGCTGACTGGTGAGCCTTGGCATTAGCCTTGGCCTCCCCAGCTCCCCACTGTCTGAACCCTCTTCTGGCCTGAATGGGTAGGGGCAGGCAGTCTGTGTTGGCCGTAGCTCTCCTCATAGGCCCCTTTAGTGACCTCTTGGGTGACTGATGGCCCTGCCTATCCAGCTGATTTGCCAGGAGCCTGAGAATTGCCTTGGATGTCTCTTTCCCCGTGATGCTCCTGCATATGGTCATCCCCAAATCTTGCCCAGCCCACCTGTACCTCCTTCACTATGATCCTAGTGAGAATGTGGAGCTCCCTATGGAAAACCCAGGTGACATCCCAAACTCCTCCTGGGTGATCTGGCCATTGCCCTGCTCTGCCATTCATGGGACTCATTGCTCTTCTGATTCTCCACATTGGCCCTTCTAGGTCTTCATCCACACCCAGCACCAGGGCAGTCCCTTCTGGAGGAAGCCCGGTGTCTTTCCCTGCTGCTTTTCCTCCTGCTGTCACTGCTCTGCCTCTCTGTGCGGGCTCCTTGTTTTCTCCTGGAGGCCAAGGCTTTCCTGGCTGTTTACCTGCTGTTGGGAGCCTGGTCTCCAGATCTCATAGCCATTCCTGCATTCCTGGTCATTCAGGTTTTTCTCCATTCAAATGTCTACCATCAAAAAACCACAGTGGTTAATGTGGCTGGATCTCACATGGCCGACTGTTCAAGTCCTGGACCTGGTGGCTTGAAAAACATGCTCTGTGTGTGTGTGTGTGTGTGTGTGTGTGCACGCGCGTGTGCGTGCGTGTGCGTGCGTGTGTGTGCATGCACAAAATCCTGAAAGAATAGAGAAGGGATTGTGGTGTAGCCATCCCCCCTGGGGGGAGGTGCTTTCTTACTTTCTCTCTCTCCAATGAGTGCATGTGCCCTACAGTAAAAATGAAAAACAAGAAACAAAAACCAAAAATCACAGCTTGACCAGTCCGTTCCATTGCCATGTTCTGTCCTGTTAATCACCTGTCTTGCCGTGGGTCGTAACCACCATCTGACAGTACCTTATGTTATTTTGATCTCACTGGGCCCCCGCACACTCACATTGTTAGAACACCATGAGGGCAGGCTCAATGCCAGGTGATCAGTGTTTAGCAGAGGACTGGGGCATGGAGCAGGCTCTCCCATCTCAGGTGGGTGGGTGCATGGGGCCCTCAGGCTGGCCCCTCTTGCTGGCTCTGTGGATAGCTTTGTGGTGCTTTGATTCCCAGCCACCGACTTCCGAGTCCACATTCCTCTGAAGCTGGAGCCAGCCTTCCAGCTGCTTGAGGCAGCCGAATCTTGATACCATGTCCTGACGGATGTTGCCTCCAGCACCCAACTTGAGAACCACACTCCATCATGATGACCGACTTCTCTTCAGCAGCAGCTCAGGCAGAAGTGGGGCCTGCCAGCTGGAACAGGTGGGATCATAAAGGCCAGGCCACTGGTGGACCCTGGATCCCCAGCGTCTGCCTGTCCTTCAGCTGGGGAGGGGGCGTGAGCACACATGCAGCCAGTCGAGTCCATCTTCTGTAGCCAGGCAGCCACCATTCCTCACAAATGGCAAACAGGCGGGCAAGGTGGCATTTCTATTTTACGCCTCACTACCTTGCGTGGAGTTGATTCTTGGTGCAAATTCTTTATATGAAAAATTGGGTAAATAACTATTAATAATGCTGCATGGGAATAAACAATCTCCTTGCACATAGTTGATCATTCATGGAGTGTGTCGATTTCATTTTCTGAAGAGCTTGAGCGTTTGTCTCCTACCCACTGCTCCCACCACAGTCCTCTACTGGATTAGGACCACGTTCTCTGGCTGCCTGCTAACAGTGAGTTTTTGAAAGTCCATATTTGATGATCCCTGCTCCAAATTGAGGTCCCCAGGGCCTATGTGGTAAAGTTCCAGTTCTTTGGCCTAGTTATAGAGGACATTAGCAGCCAGAATTCCAGCTACCGTCAGTGCTTTCTCAACACCCCTTCTAGTTCACCCAGGGTGTGCTGTGAGCCAGGCCGGGCCAAGCAGAGCAGCCATTCCCTCAGCTACAGGGTTGGGCAGGGGCTCCAGGCACGGCCAAGCATAGCCTGTGGGTCATGGTGCTGACTGGGTGTGGTGAGCCTACAGGGGCCACCCTCTTCCACTAGGAAAAAGGCCCATCTTTGAAAGAGGGCAGGAAAGAAACCATGCAGACTCCACCAGAGATAGGGTGGCCAGGAGAGGGAGAAGCTAGGTGGAGAGGCCTTCAGCTGGGCTTTCTCCTGCAGCCCTTCCTGCAGTCCTGAGCATCCAGCATCCATTCCCACAATAGGAGCCAACACAGTTGTGTTTCGGCTGAGTTTGACTTAGGTTTCTATCACAACTGAACAAGTTCCTGCCGTCTGGGACTTGGGCCTGCACAATTGAGACTTGTTGCACCTTTGACCACTTCTCTCATTCTGTACTGGGCTCCAGCCACCCCAAACTTGCTGCAGTTCCCTCTGCCACGAGGCCCGCCCTCCCTATCTCCTTTGCAGTTCATATGCATCCTTCTGGATCCAGCTCTGGCCTCTGCTTCCCTGAGCCCACTCTTCCTCCCTCTGCTGTGTGACCATCTCACATGCATCTCCTTCCTGTAGTACCTTCTACGCTCAGACCTGTTGGTCTCCCCTCTAGCTGAGTGTTCCCTGATGACTGGGGGTGCAACTTGTTCCCCTCTCCTAGGCCCTGGTGACAAAGAAATTTGGACAAATCATGTTTTAAAAAAGAATTATTTAACTTTATTATTCTTCAATTTGACAAGAGAGAGACAGAAAGCAAGCTGCCAGGTATGGGACTCGAACCATGGTAGGCCATGGGGGGGAAACCACTGCCTTAGCCATTTTACTACCCGCCAGCCCCTTGACTATATATATAATTTTAAGAATTATTTAATTTTATTCATTTATTTCAATTTGACCAGAGACAGACAGACAGAGAGAGAGAGAGAGAGAGAAAGTGATAAAGCAAGCCACTAGGTCTGGGACTTGAACTATGGTGGGCCATGCAGGTGTGTGTCCAGCACCCTAACCACCATGCTACCTGCTGGTCCCTGAGCAGATAATTAAATATATATATATATTTAATTTTATCTGTCATTTAAAAAATATTTATTTTTAATTTTATTTATTATCATTCTTTAGTTGTGACCAAAGAGACACACACACACAGAGAGAGAGAGAGAGAGAGTGGAAAGCAAGCTGCCAGCTTCAGGACTTGAACCATAGTCAGCCATGTGGAAATCCAGCATCTCAACCACCATTCCACCTGCTGGCTCCCTTATTTGTCATTATTATTATTTTTAATTTTGACAAGAGAGAGACAGAGAGAGAGAGAAAGGGAAAGTCAGAAAGCAAGCTGCCAGGTCTGGGACTCAAACTGCAGTCAGCACTGTGGGAGTCCAGCACCCTAACACCCACACCACCAGCTGGCTCCTGAACAAATCATTTTTTAAGTAAAGTTTTTTTCTTAACATCATTGAAAAAAACTTGGAATTATAGAAAAGAAATATTAAACACCCATAATATTACTACTGCCCTTGCTGTACAATATATGTGGAGCATTTCCTTTGGGATATGCTCACATACAGTGTGATCATGCATACATGTACATGTACATGGCAGTATCTGAAGTTAGTAACATACTGCACTTCACCTGATAGAGTATGTCTGTCCTTAAAAATGCCAAGTGGTGCTGGCCTCATAGGTCAGTAGTTAAGGAAGCTGGACTCCACATGGCTGTGCTTTGAGTCCTGGCCCTGGTGGCTTAAGCAACACATCAGGCATGTGCGTGTGTGTGCAGGTTCCAAATCTTGGAAGGATGGAGAAATGGAGGAATTGTGGCGTGACCACACCTCACTGGTAGCAAGGAGTGCTCTCCCTTTCTCTGGTGAGTGCTCTTGCTTTCTGGCAATTAAATAAGTTGTAAGTGTTTAATGGCTGAGTAACATTCCATTACACTGATGGGCCACTAACATGATTTAAGATCGCTTGTTTCTTGCTATTACAGGTAGTGCCAGGATGGCCATCCCTGTAGGCACATCTGTGACTACTCTTCTGCTATTTCCTTGGATGGGTGTCTATTAATAAGATCATCAGACCCAGAGGCATGCATGAAGTGTTCAAGGTTCTTGGTTTGCTGACCTTCTGCCAAGCTGAAGTCCTGCCAGCAGGATCCTGAGTGCGAGAGCTGGAAACACCTTGGCTAATTTAGCAGGAATCTGTCTTACTTTGCATATCTTTGAGTATTAGTGAACTGTAATTTGTTTTTTGGTTTATTAAAAAGCTTTTCAATGTTCTTCTCTTGTGATTGGTTTGGAATCAATTACCGTTTACCTCACCTGGTACTGATATGTTGTCAAAATCCAGACAGTACTGCAGAAATGTTCACCAACTGTGTTTCCCAGCAAATGGAGGTGTCGACACTTTCTTGGTGTCAGCTGTTGGAATATGCCTGCCTGTCTTTTGTCAGAAGGCTGGGAAACTCTTAATGGTTAAAACATAAAACAAAATTAACTGATGCTTACATAAACACAAGTTTCTGGAAAGCCTGAAGCCTGGGTCTCTCCCTGGCCTACAACCCTCACTGGAGAGTGGCACCCCTGAAGAGGTAGTGATGGAAAGGGGGTACTAGGTGCCAGGGATGGTTCTGCTGCTTCACTGGGAAGCCTGCAGCCAGGTGTGGGTGAAAACCCACCAAGCTATCAGACCTGTGTGCTTCTCTGTGGGCAGGTTAACGCCTCTATAGCCAGGACAGCAGAAATCTCCCACTGCCCAGTGGTGGGCCGGGCTCCTGAGCAGGCCCCTCCGCAGGTGTGCTGTGGCATCCAGCAGCCCATCATAACTGGAGCATGGGAGGACGGCAGTAATGGAGGCGAGTGGTGGTGGCAGGGGCTGTGGCACTGCCTGTGCACCCCTTCCTGCCCTCTGTGGTGAGGACCAGCACACCATTTTCCAGATGCAGGCACCAGGGGCTCAGTGAGGTGAAGTCCCTTGGCCCAAGCAACACAGGAGGTAAGCAGTGGGGCCCGGCTGACCCAGTGGCCAACCTCAGAACCCGCTTTACCACTGCACGCGTTGCCTGCCGGTCCCCAAACACTGTGAGCCTCCTGATGCCAGGCAGTCATCTCCATGGGCTCTCCTGCCTTTCTCCACACACACCCCTGACCTGGAGTGTGTCTACTTGTCCTGTGTGCCCTTCCAGGGCACTCCCCACTCTATGCCTGTCAGTGCTGGGGCTCGGATCCAGGACTGCCCCTGGGCAGAGAAGGTGTCTTCAGGGCACAGACTCAGTCTTGCTGTAGGTCCCGGGACCCAGCGCCAGGCTGGGCACAGAGCAGTGAACAGGTGGATCTGTGAAGGAAGTTCGCATTTCAGGCCTTCCAGTTCTCATCCTGCCTACGACCACCAGAAACTGACGGAGAAGCTCAGATCCAGAGCCCGCACGTAATGCCAGTGTTTGACTGGGATGAACAGGATCTCGCCAGGAGACAGGATGCAGGACAGGAATGGGGCCTTGGCAAACTTGGGGAACTTCTCTAAGTCAGGATTCTCCACATCAACCTGAAGGGAAGAAAAGAAGCCATTTGCTGGGCTACAGGGACAACGAGCAAGTGAGGGAGAGTCTGTAGTGTCACCCCGGGTCCCGGAGTTCTCACCTGGCTCGTGTTATGAAGAAGGTGTGTGTCATGGGGATACAAAGCCTCTGACTCCTGAGGGGAATACAGCCGGATGTACTTCCTCCCAATCACCTGGGAAGAGAGGAACTGGTCAGGCAGCTGGCGCCTCATCTCCCCCCGTCCCACAGACTGCAGGTCCCTGGACCCCACATCCTCCCTGCCTCCTCAGCCTTTCCACGTGCTGTTCCTTGCACTGTCTGCACCTCCCCAGCACACATGCGCTTAGAGTTCCAACAGTCTGCTTTCCTCTACCGTATGATGAGCTTCATTCCTGTGGCAAACGGAGCCTGGCACTTGGCTGTGCCAAACCAGGCACTGCTTACGAGCTTCATGTCTAACCAGGTCAGCCCTCTGGGTGGCTTACTGTCACCCCCATTTCTTAGGCAAGGAGACTGAAGCACACAGAGGTTAAGTGACCTGCCCAAGTTGACCACACTGGCAGGTGGCTGGGCTGGTGCTCAGGGCTGTCTGACTCCTGCCTCTCTTGGTCCTGACTCTTAGGACTGGTCCACTGGGCCAGAAGGATGTCCTCATTGATTAAACCTCTCTCTGCCTACAGAAACAAGGCGGCCTCAAACAGCACAGAGGCTCTTCCCTTGAAGCAGGCACATCTGCTCCTCTGAAAGGGTCTGGGGGAAAACCACCCAGTGGCAGAGAAGCCCCCTTTCCTTCCTGCAGTGCTCTTATTCTTCGAAGCTGGCCTGGTTCGGATGATGGGATGCAGGGGAGGGCAGAAGAGAGGCACAGGGGTGTATGACAGGGGCTCACCCACCCCCAAGAGTACTCCCAGCCCTGGGATCCCAGAGGGTGAGCTCTGAGCCAGGAGGGGCCACATCTGGAGAGGGCCCTACCTGGGACCTCATACCATTTTTCCTTTTTGGTCCACATCCCTTTTGGTGGTTCTGGTGTGGAAAGGGGGGTAATGGCCAGGCCATGTGGCTGGGGTAGGGAGGGGAACAACTCCAACCTGGACTAGGAAGTTCTGCTGGGGATCCTGATGAAGCGGGGAGACGGTTCCTTGGGGACCAAACCAAGCATTAATGGTGATCTCGTCCTCCTCTCCATCGCCCAGGCAGCAGTAGTCGGGGATGCTGATGTCCTGCTTTAACTCTGGGATCTGTGGGTGTCAGAGCAGACAGGAAGACTGAGCCCAGGCCTGGGACCACCAGGTCGAAGTCAACTGACGATCTGACCAAAGAGCCAGTGCACACTACTGCTGTATCCATCGGACAGGGATTTAAAAGATCAAACAAACAAGCAATATACAATGAATAGAGAAGGGCTGTACTTTTGTTTTTTATTTGTACATTTCATAGAAGAGTCTGATCTTCAAAAAGTTCATTAAAAATGTGTATTATAAAAAAAACTGCATGGATTTGAAAATTTTTTTGCACCAAAACAAACTCATACTTTAATTCCATTTTTCTATGAACCTTTTGACATCCCTTCAGTCTGTTTTCCTTTTAAAAAATCAGTTGCATCAGAAAAGACCTAAAGATTGTTAAGAAAAGAAAACTGAAGCCATGTTTTGAAGACCTATATACTTTGTCAGTTTGTAAGACATGAATCTGCAATAGCTAGCAGTCTGATTCTTGAAAGATCTCCAGATTGTGTGCAGTTATTTGGGCAAGTGAGTCAGGACCCTATCATGACACAGGTAGAAGGAAAAAAATCAATCACAATGTTTTCTTTGGTAACAAATGAGATGTGGAGATCAGGGGACAGTGTAGTGTACCAAATGGGTGATGGCAGACAGAGACAACACGGCACAGAATATCAGAATTCTGCTCAGGCCTCAGAGATGTGGCAAATCAGTATGCTAAAAAGGGGTCTTGAATTTATGTGGAAGGGGAAGTAGACTGTGGTGAATACACAGATAAAAATAATGAGAGGTGACAGGCAACAACAGTCATAGCTGATAACACTGCATTTCTGAATGATCAGACCAAAGAGAAGGTGTAGAATGGATGATGATTCTTTGGTCACTGCTTGGTACAGTCTCATTTTTCTAAAGAATTAAGTAATTTTAAAAAATCAAATAAAAGAAAAACAAAAACGGGACTAAATATTTCTCAAATCTCTGGAGAGTAAGATATTTCAAGATTGATTAATGGTGGGGGCTGGACAGTGGTGGGGGGTAAAACACGACAGGCCACATGGTGGACCCCAAAGGAAGGTTCTGGGTTCACCCCAGAGACTTAGGTACACTGGGTCTGTCTGTGCTGTGCTCCAGGAAGAAAGAAATAAATGAAAAACTATATATATCAGTTCTTAGTAACAGAATCTTAGGTTATTATTAGAAAAACTTACTAACGGTAAAGAAGTCACAATTGGTACACTTCAATTAATAAATCGGTTCTCTAAAAACCAACAACTAGGAAACTTATTTGTACTCATTGTGGTGGACTAAAAACCAACAACTAGGAAACTTATTTGTGTTTATTGTGGTGAAAGAGGGGTTAATGTACAAATTACTAAGGGAAGCAGAAGATCTCAGTACAAAAATTACAGAAATAATGAAAGCACAAAACCAGATAATACATAAAAGCCAATTAGATATGAGGAAGGGTTTCAGTCTCATTAGCAAAGAAACCCAAATTAAATCAACAATGAGTCATCATTTCCCACTAATCAAATAAGCAAAGGCTGAAAACAGTAACCGGTGGTGAGGGCGTGGCCTGGGCATTCTCTGGGGCAGGGCAGCCGGGCAGCAGCAGGTGCGTGCTCTGCCGACAGCGCCGCTGGTGAGCGGAAGGCTGGAGAGCGCTCCTGTGACCCAGCTGGGAGTGAGTTGGTGTTGGGCTGTGAAGGGGGCATCTAGGAGGGTGTGATGTGAGGGCTTGCAGATGGACGTGGGCAGCACTGCTGACTCACTTGTCCAGCCACTACCACAGACATGACGAGATGGTGCTGGAAAAATCGAGCACTCTGTCTCCGCCAGTGTTTTCTCCCACCCTGATTTCCTTCCCCAGCTCCATGCCCTCTTCTGGAGGCTCAGCACTCTGACAGTTCTGAGAAGTCCTCCTTTTGAAGGCCCAGGGTTGGCAGGGGGCATTTGTTCCCACACTTGGCAGAAACAGGGACTGGGCCCAGAAGGTGCCTCTCTTGTTGAGAGGGGCAGACTGAGGTGTGAGTTTGTGCTCTAAGAGTTCACAACACAGGGAGGGCAAGACAACATCTCTAAGCCTCAGAGCCATTTGCCAAGCCCATCAGACAATCTTGAGGTTTGGGGTGAGGCAGGGCTGCAGTAGCCTGGCCTCTGGAAAGAACCAGGATCTTGGAGTGAAGAAACCACTTCCTGACAGACCCATGGCTGGCACTATGGCTCCCTCTAGGACTGAACACACTGGAGCAGGCTGCCAGCCCTCACCTGCGGATGTCTGGATTCTTCACAAGACCCTGGATGGAACCAACAGTACTTTTGAAGATTGAAAAGTATAAAAATGGTCCCAAGATGGACTCAGGTCTGTTCAGGAAGCAAGTGCTGGCCAGTCTGAAGGGATGCCTATAGGGAGGCATCGCCCTTCCTTCAGGAGCAGCCACTGTAATTCCAGGTTGTTTGTTAAGAAATCAAGTGGCCGCCTAGAAAGGCTAGAATGTTCTCCTCCTGGGATCCTGGGCCCAGGTGATGCTGTTCTGTTCTAACAGTCTCTGAAATCACCTCCGCAGAAATGCTGGAAAGCTGCTGTGTCTGCTGCTTACGCTAACAAAGCAGCTCACAGTCTGAGGTTCCTGGTGCTGTGGGCATCCTCGAGCTATTTAAAAGATTGCAAAGGCCGCTCAGAACCTCTGGCCTCTATCACCACACACACTGTTGCTTCAGGCTGGGATGAAGCAGATCTGGCCCTGACGGTGCCAAGCAGAAACTCTGATTGGTTCCTGATGACATCACGAGGATTTCTGAGAGGTGACTGGTTGACTAGATCATGTAATCAGAATCACAGGCCAATGACTCAGAGTTCCCGAGAGAACAGATGCTCCCCAGATGCGATTGAAATTGGAAGGCAGGCCTAAAATGATAGCCAAAATCTTCTCAAACCTGGTGTCCATGGGAGGAAAATCAATGAGGCTTTTGGGCAAGAATTTGGTGGGAGCCACTGAGATTCCCTTTCTGTAGGCAGAGAAGGACCCAGAAAACTGCTTGTGCCATGCTGCATGAGGACCCAGGCTCGAGGCTGCTCAGAGGTCCCCGAAGGTGCTCTGAACAGCAGAGGTGAAAACACACCTCTAGGGACCCGAGGTGAAGACCCAGGTGGCCCTCCACTAGTGGAAACACCCCTGTGACCTTTGCCTTCTACTCCTGGCTACACTTCCTCTCATCCTGGTGGGATATAAAAGGGCTGCTCCAGCACAAGGTCAAGTGTAACCATGGTCCCCACCATGGCTGCCTGTCCCGGGAGAAGCCATGCCCTAGTACGACTGAGGGCAGGGGACAGGTGGTCTTGGGTCATGCAGTAGGGGCCTGATCAGTTAGAATCCCCATTTCTTCACTTAGCAGTGGAGTAGGCAGGACTTGTAAGTCCCAGTCTAGGGAGGTCACCCACCACACTCTGCTCCTTTAACTTCGGGCATGGAGGCTCACTGATCTGCCACAGCCCCAGCTGGGCCTGGGTGACCAGGTCAGGAAGGGGAGTGAGGGCAGCCCTGGCCCAGACACAGCAGCTGGATAGCTCCCTGGGCCTCAGCCTCAAAGCCTCAGAGACCCTCTCAAGTTAGAGCTTAGGAAGGCAGGGGGGAGAAGGTGGAATGCGGTCTCAGACTTACCTGGTCAAAGAGCTGGTGCTGAGCAAGGTACCCGACGTCCCTCGCCTAATGCACAGGAGAAAAACCAGAGGTGACACAGCTAGTCGTGAGTGGGGATGGACAGACACCTGATGATGCTGCCGCTGTTTAGCGGCTTTCAGCTCCCACCTGTGCCAACCACCTAGTGACAACGGTCCCCACTCCGTTCTGCATGGTCTCCTCCTGCAATGCAGGAGCTAATGTTACTGGTGCCTCATGGGCAGGCCTGGAAACCCAAAACCTCATGTTGCCTCTGCCTCTAGGGGTGCCCGAGCAAGTCACTGTGTGCTCCTGAAGTTGTTTCCACAAAAGAAAAATAAGGGGACCACACACACAAGGGTGATAGCTTAAAAAGAAAAATGGCACTAATACCATATTGTAAAAAACTATTAAGTTAATTTTATCTATTATTACTATTTTAAAGTTTGCTGTAGGGCACATGTACTCACCAGAGAGAGACAGAGACAGAGAAAAGGACAGTGAGAAAGCAAGCTGCTAGGTCTGGGACTCGAACCGCATTTGGCCATATGGGGTCCAGTGACTTAATATGCCACGTCACCTGTGGCTCCTTTATGTATTACTTGGAAATTGATTTTTCAGCCTAATTCGTACATATCTGACTCACTCTTTTGATGGCTACGTAATATTACGTGAACAGGAAACAACATTATTCATTCAACTACTTGTAGACAAACTGGTTGTTATGCCACAGCTTCTCAACAGACAGCCTGATAGCCAGGTCCTCGCATGTATGTGGTATTACTCCTGGCTACACTTCCTCTCATCCTGGTGGGATATAAAAGGGCTGCTCCAGCACAAGGTCAAGTGTAACCATGGTCCCCACCATGGCTGCCTGTCCCGGGAGAAGCCATGCCCTAGTACGACTGAGGGCAGGGGACAGGTGGTCTTGGGTCATGCAGTAGGGGCCTGATCAGTTAGAATCCCCATTTCTTCACTTAGCAGTGGAGTAGGCAGGACTTGTAAGTCCCAGTCTAGGGAGGTCACCCACCACACTCTGCTCCTTTAACTTCGGGCATGGAGGCTCACTGATCTGCCACAGCCCCAGCTGGGCCTGGGTGACCAGGTCAGGAAGGGGAGTGAGGGCAGCCCTGGCCCAGACACAGCAGCTGGATAGCTCCCTGGGCCTCAGCCTCAAAGCCTCAGAGACCCTCTCAAGTTAGAGCTTAGGAAGGCAGGGGGGAGAAGGTGGAATGCGGTCTCAGACTTACCTGGTCAAAGAGCTGGTGCTGAGCAAGGTACCCGACGTCCCTCGCCTAATGCACAGGAGAAAAACCAGAGGTGACACAGCTAGTCGTGAGTGGGGATGGACAGACACCTGATGATGCTGCCGCTGTTTAGCGGCTTTCAGCTCCCACCTGTGCCAACCACCTAGTGACAACGGTCCCCACTCCGTTCTGCATGGTCTCCTCCTGCAATGCAGGAGCTAATGTTACTGGTGCCTCATGGGCAGGCCTGGAAACCCAAAACCTCATGTTGCCTCTGCCTCTAGGGGTGCCCGAGCAAGTCACTGTGTGCTCCTGAAGTTGTTTCCACAAAAGAAAAATAAGGGGACCACACACACAAGGGTGATAGCTTAAAAAGAAAAATGGCACTAATACCATATTGTAAAAAACTATTAAGTTAATTTTATCTATTATTACTATTTTAAAGTTTGCTGTAGGGCACATGTACTCACCAGAGAGAGACAGAGACAGAGAAAAGGACAGTGAGAAAGCAAGCTGCTAGGTCTGGGACTCGAACCGCATTTGGCCATATTGGGTCCAGTGACTTAATATGCCACGTCACCTGTGGCTCCTTTATGTATTACTTGGAAATTGATTTTTCAGCCTAATTCGTACATATCTGACTCACTCTTTTGATGGCTACGTAATATTACGTGAACAGGAAACAACATTATTCATTCAACTACTTGTAGACAAACTGGTTGTTATGCCACAGCTTCTCAACAGACAGCCTGATAGCCAGGTCCTCGCATGTATGTGGTATAGGCTTAAAAAAGTCAAGGGTATGAGTAACAATCTGAATTGTTACTGCCAGGTTATTTGTTATTTCCCCCCAAATTAAATTATTTGTACCTTTACCAGCAGTTAAAATGAGCACCCATTTTCCTGTCTTTACCTGCATTATGTATTACCGTTTTGTGAAAATGTTTGCCAGTTGGATGGATGAAAAGATCAGGCCCCAGTGTTTGAGGAGTTCTCTGAAGAAGGCTGAAGGGGCAGAGCAGCCACTCACCTCACCTGTGGCAGAGGGGAATGAGCAGGCTTTGCCTGAGCAGCTTTGAGAGGCTCTCTCAGCTTGGGAGCAGAGCAAGGCCCCTCTCCAGGACTTGCCTCGAATTTCTGTCCCTTCCATTCTTTCTTAAAAAAAAGACTTCACAATCCACCAAGCCAAAGGGTGCTAACGGCTACATGGACAAGCACTGGCCATGCTGTGCTGAGAGCTTTGCATGTTTTAATCTTCACGATGCTGGGGCTGTGAGTTCTGCATTAGCAACCTCTGATTAATCCCAACTAAACCTAACTGACCGGCTGTCAAGGTGCTGATGATGGGTGGGGTTAAGTGACCAGCCAAGGACAAATGGGGACAGGCAGGACTTGCCCCGTGTTCCCTGCCCACAGGCCTGCCACTCACCACCCTGTAGACTGCCCCTCTGTACCTCTTTGCACTGGAAGTCAAGTTTCCACCTAGCAGGGCCGACAGCAAGGCCCTTCCACCCAGGCTCATTGCTAAAAGCCTACGTGGATGGGGGAACTTGGTACTTCTCTAGGTCATGGGCTCTTTTCCCAGGCCTCTAGGAGATAGGGGACTTAGATGTGGAAGTGAGGTGGGGAGTTGGGCCAGCTCATAGCTAGGTGGTTAAAGCAGCTGGACCCTGCATGGCTGACTACATGGTTCAAGTCCTAGGCCCAGCGATTTGAAAAACATGCTGGGCACGTGCATGTACATGCCCAAAATCCCGACAGAGGGAGAAATGGAGAAGGGATTGTGGCATGACCATTTCAGTAGGGGAATGAGCAGGCTTTGCCTGAGCAGCTTTGAGAGGCTCTCTCAGCTTGGGAGCAGAGCAAGGCCCCTCTCCAGGACTTGCCTCGAATTTCTGTCCCTTCCATTCTTTCTTAAAAAAAAGACTTCACAATCCACCAAGCCAAAGGGTGCTAACGGCTACATGGACAAGCACTGGCCATGCTGTGCTGAGAGCTTTGCATGTTTTAATCTTCACGATGCTGGGGCTGTGAGTTCTGCATTAGCAACCTCTGATTAATCCCAACTAAACCTAACTGACCGGCTGTCAAGGTGCTGATGATGGGTGGGGTTAAGTGACCAGCCAAGGACAAATGGGGACAGGCAGGACTTGCCCCGTGTTCCCTGCCCACAGGCCTGCCACTCACCACCCTGTAGACTGCCCCTCTGTACCTCTTTGCACTGGAAGTCAAGTTTCCACCTAGCAGGGCCGACAGCAAGGCCCTTCCACCCAGGCTCATTGCTAAAAGCCTACGTGGATGGGGGAACTTGGTACTTCTCTAGGTCATGGGCTCTTTTCCCAGGCCTCTAGGAGATAGGGGACTTAGATGTGGAAGTGAGGTGGGGAGTTGGGCCAGCTCATAGCTAGGTGGTTAAAGCAGCTGGACCCTGCATGGCTGACTACATGGTTCAAGTCCTAGGCCCAGCGATTTGAAAAACATGCTGGGCACGTGCATGTACATGCCCAAAATCCCGACAGAGGGAGAAATGGAGAAGGGATTGTGGCATGACCATTTCAGTGTGTGTGTGTGTGTGAGTGCTTTCTTGTTTTCCCTCTCTCCGTCTTTGTCTCTCTCTAGAGAGAGCACACACCCTCTGGCAAATTAAAACAAATGAAACAAGGAGAATGGAGTGGGGAGTACAGAGGCAGGAATGGAAAGATGTCTGTGGGCCAGCGAAGGCCATGGCCCAGAGGACTGCAGTGAGTGTCTGGAAGAGGCTGGGAGTTCAAGGGTGAAAGAGGGGGGCTTCAGGGGGCCCCTTAGGAGTTCACACTTCCAGTGTGGTAGTGGTCTGGGCTCTGATAGCAGAGGTCCGTGGTCAGCCTGATGAGAACTCTGCGGGGTCCAGGCCGGGGCTCCTGGGGAGCTGGGCTGTGGGGAGTATGCAGTAGCCTGCAGAGTGCCACACTCAATCTCCCTCCCATGCAGGACATAGATCTGGGCAGGCAGCTCCTCCCCCTAGGGGCCTGTGTCCCCATGACAGGCCTGGCTTAGTCCCAGCCCACAGAATGGTTTGGAGTCTCAAGGGCCAATCTATGTTCTCTGCCCCAGGGACTCAGGAAGAGGAAGCTACCCTCTGTCTCCCTGCCAAAAACCTGAAAGAACACATATACAGTTGCTATGGAACTGGGTCTGGTGGTTCCTCAAAGGGGTTAAACACAGGAGTTTCTGTATGACCCAGCAATTCCACTCCCAGCGTGTTCCTAAAAGAAATGGAAACCTTCACACAAACACCTGTACGTGGGTGGTCAGGCAGCGCTTCACAGTAACCAAAAAGTGGTGACAACCCGAGTGCTCGTCAGTGGATGGACGGATAAACGAACCGTGATGTATCTGATAATGAGAGGGTACTCAGCCACAGGAGGGCATGACACACTGACAGGCGACGGCAAGGGGAAACCTTGGAAACCTCATGCTGAGTGAAAGAAGCCGGAAATAAAAGGCTGCATCTCGTATGACTCCACTGATAGGAAATGGGCAGAATGGGCAAATCGTGGAGACAAAAGGCAGATTAGCCGGGGGAAGGGAGATGGGAAATGACTAACGAGGACGGGGTTTCGTGTGGGGTGATGAAAATGTTCTAGAATTAGATAGTGCTGATAGTTATATAACCTCATGAATACACTAGAAACCACTGAACTGTACCAAAAACAAAAGGACCTGAACTGGATCCTTCTGTCTTGCCATTGAGCTGCTTGCACAGCGGCTTTGTGTCTGGCTCTGGCCACGGACTTCCAGACGACCCCTCGGACTCACCCAGGGTGAGCTGCCGGATGGCTTGTGCTCCCTGCCGTGTAGGTACGGGGGGAGGTGTGCACACAGCTTACCTCATTCACGATGTATTTGTTGATGAACTCACTGACTGTCATGAGCCTCTGGGACCACTCTTCGTCTGTGTACCTGGAACCAACTTCCACTGGGACGGTTCTGCAGCCAGCCACCTCGTGGATGTACTCCAAGCTGTCAGAGACAAGGCCATCACCACAACTGCTGCCATCACCACAACTGCTGCCATCACCACAACTGCTGCCATCACCACAACTGCTACCATCACTGTCTCCATCATGCATGTTTGTTGGGCATGGTGTTGAGTGCGCTTGACAGTTGGTCCCCTGTAATCTTACAAAACCTCACGAGGTAGACAGCACTGTAATCCTTTATTCCACGGAATGGAGACTCAAGATGCAGGGAGGTGAGGTTCCCAGGCCAAGGTCACACAGCTAACACACAGGGCTGTGTAGCTTTGCAAACATATCTAATAAACCTGGCTTGCCTGGCTGAGCTATTTCCCTCCCTTCTCTCTGCTGGCCTTGTTACTCAGCTGAGATGCCTTACTTACTGTGCACAGTATGTGTGTGTGAGAGACAGGCACAGAGAGACAAGTTCCTGTTCTCTAAACTCCGGTGCCCTGAGACTAGCTCCAGGCCTCATCAGCCACAGACCATGGGAACTTTAGCAAATCACTTAACCTGAGTCCCTGTTCCCCATGTATAAAGTGGGAGTGATGACAAAGCCTGGTCCATGGGAACCAGGGAGGACAAGATGAGACAAAGCCTGGCAAGGGCCTGTGCTGGCACCTGGTTCACAGTGAAGCTCATGACGATGTTTGTTGAGACTATGGCTCTGCAGGCAGAATTCTCCCACGTGAGTCTCGGTGGGAACCACTCCCTCTACAAAACCTCTGTGGAACGACTCGGCCAGCCTGCCTTGAGACACAACTCCGCATTTCCAGAGTCAGGCACAGCCGTGGCACTATGGCCACTCTCCTGCTGCCTGAGCCATCTCCACCCCGAGTCTGAGGTGGGACTAGAAGCAGACACATGGAGACAGAAAACACAAAAGACCTCGGGACCCTGGAGAAAGAGGGGCTGTCTTCTGGGCTATTTCTATGCTTATCTTCAGGGTCCTGAGAAGGTCCGCAACATTTCTAAAATCCTGCAAAATTGCATAAACTTCTCAGGAGACCGGCCCCTGCTGTAGGAAGTTCGAATCTTCTGACCTGGCACACGAATTGGTGTTCAGCCCCTTGGCTGGTAGTGAAGTGTCTTCCAGGCTATGCTGATTTGGGGATGGTGGAAAGAGGAATTCAGGGAGTCCTAGGGAACAGGAAAATGGAAGAGGGCCCTCACCACCTTTCAGTGACCACCCACCTCCACTTCTTCATGCACGGCCAGTGGTCAGCCACGCCCTCTAAGATCACAGGTCTCTCTGGAACCAAAAAATGCTTCCTGAAATACTGGAGGGACGGACAGCGAAGCCGGGGGACTGTGCTTTCCAACGTCACATCTGGAATCGAACCTTGCTCATTTCTTGCCTTCTGTTTAAAACAAACAAAAAATCAAAATGGCAACAACCTCAGAAAGTCCAAATTGGAGGATTTCCAGTAGGAATCTGCACCAATGGCAGGAGAGCTTTGATGTTGCTAATAACAGTAATGACTACCCTTGCTGGCATTACTGATCCTCCTATCTGCTATCTCCTATCATCTCCTTTCAAGGTGTTTTTTCTTTTGCCATTTCATTAAAGATGTTTTCCTATTATAAAAGTAACACACTGCTTTTGTGGCAATTCTGCAGTAAAGGAAAACTTACGATCCCCAACTTCACCACCTGGAGTGAAAGCATTTCTGTCCCTATATGTTCCTTCCCACCCTTCCTCCATATGCATCTCCTGAACCACAGTAAGAAGAGTCACCATGAATATGCCGCCCACCTCTCCCATCCAGTCACTGGCCTAAGCAGTTCCCACGCTGTTTTCAGCCCTTGCAGTGGCTTAGCAGTGGCTGTGCCACACTAATGGGGCAATCATCTCCTAATGGCACCTGAGTCACATCCCTGAGCCTCGATTTCCTTACCTGCTGGGAAACAAGGCCACAAGTGTGAAGTACCCAGGACCACCTGGCACAGACGAGCTCCCTTCTCTACACACTGTCCCAGTCCTCTAAGCTGGGCTTTGACTTTCATACACCTCCTCGTCGAGGAGGGCTTTCCTGACTCCCCATCAAAAGCAGCCCCGCGTGCTGCTCACTACCTGAGAGAAAAAGTGTCCTTCTGCCACTGAGAACATGTGCTCCAGAAGGGCGGGCAGGGCTGTCCTGTGCGTCACACTCAGTCCTGGCATGTCTCCTAGGCAAGGAAGCTGAGGGGGCACAGAGAGGCCAAGACACTGGCCCAAGTCACAGACAGCAGGTGGCAGCGTGGGATCTGAACCCAGCCAGGCTGACTCCGGAGCCTTTGCTACATACACTGCTCCACACCAAGGGGACAGTCCGGGCCATGAGGTCACCTACATATTCCCATGGGACAGACTTGGTGGAGGAAGGACAGTGTGCACCCTAAGGCCAAAGGGGATAGATAGTTGCCCCTTGATCTGCATGTCTGTTCTGCCCTGTAAAAAGGCAACCGTTCCCTTGGCCCCACAGTACCCTCGACAACATCAGGTTATAAAACCTGATTTGTTAATCAAATAGCCAAAGTCGGCTGCCTCCCTGTTTCTGCTATTTGCATTTACTTTTTTTAACCAGAGGTGAGGCTGAACGTTTTCCCACATGTTTGTTTAACAGATCTATTTCCGTTCTGTGAACTGTCTGTTTATGTTCCTGGTCTTTGACCTCCTGGGGCTCAAGTTGTTTCCGTATTGATTTGTATAATTCCTTGCATAATAGAGATATTCATTCTCTGGTTTACTGGAAATGTTGGCCACATGCATTCATCACATGCGCGTTTAATGACTTCCATTTGCATTTTTCTTAAATAAAAATAATATTTATTACAGGAAATTCTGATGACATAAATATTTAGAAAAACGTCAAAAACATCCCATGATTTCATTAGTCAGTGTTCAATAAATACTCTCTTAGTCTTTTCTTCTGAGGATCAGCTCTCTGCCAATTTACAAACAAGGACACGGAGGCTCGCAGGAGGTAGATGCCTTGGGTGGAGGGGCTGTACGTGGGGTCTGTGGGCCGGCATTGAGATTTGAACCTCTTGTGCCTGGAGGGTGCATTAAAATATCAGTTAACATGCCAGGTATATATGTGCCTGTGATCTGAGGACACACGCTGGAGACAGATCATGGCATCAAGACCCTGCTGGGTGCACTGCCTCTCTTGTCTCTTGCTCAGAGAGGAAACAAATGAACTTTTAAAAAAGTATCCAAAGTGACAAAGCTATGGATCTGAGGGCCTGTAGTCGTGGGAGCAGATTAGCTAGTGGCATCTCATCTAAACTCAGCAGCACAGAGCTGGGGCGCCCAGGAAAGTGGGTGGCTTGTCCACACCAGACTGAGACGAGGCTGGCCGAAATGGGCACAGCTGTCACTCACACGATCCCGTCAAGCTGTTCCTCTCAGGAGCCACTAAGTCCCCTCTCTCCCTTTCTTGAAAGGGCACTGCTTTTGCACACACTGGGATAAAATACTTTTTCCTATTGAGAAAATGGACTGAGTTGCTCCATTTCCCTCCATAGAGATGTTATTTTCAGCTTGCATGGGTGAGTGCCTAGAAGTCTCACTCCAGGGAGAGCTGACCTGGTGCTTCTAGGAAAACGGGGCCGTGGGACTGTTAGAAAGCTCAGGGGCGGGACCAGCAGGTGGCATGGTGGTTAAGGTGCTGGACACTCCCACATGGCTGACCGCGGTTCGAGTACCGGACCTGGTGGCTTGCTTTCTTACTTTCCCTCTCTCTCTCTCTCTGTGTCTCTCTCTGGTCAAATTAAAATAAATGAATGAATAAATAAAATTAAATAAATAAATATTAGAAAAAAAAAGAAAGAAAGAAAGCTCAGGGGCTGTCTCACTCACATACCTTGGTGCAGGGCTGCTCCTGGGCTGAGCCTTGGGAGGGTCTTTTTCCAGAAAGAAGGTGAGACTGGAGGATGGCAGCAACTTTAATGAGGATGTCCCCAAGGATGGCCGCCCCCATCAGCAGGCCCATGTCACAGGCCCTCAGGGCTGCAGCCACGGAGGTGGCATCCCCAGATGCCTCACACAGACACAGGGCTTTCAGAAGGCAGCCGAAGGCATAGACCCGCCGCCAGTCCTTGTCCACGTCCCTCCAGGCCCTGGTATTGAGCTTCTCCCAGGAGTAGTCCAGGATCGCCTCACTCGTCTGCAGACACTCGGCCCTCTGGCCGCCGTAGAAGAGCTCCGTGGCCTGCTGCAGCAGCATCAGCACGCTGTGCTCCACCTTCTCGCCCAGCTCCAGCTTCAGCTCTTCCTTACTGTGCGGCAGGAGTGCCCTGAGGGCCTCCTGGAGGCCTGCTCCCACCAGGGGGTCTTCAAGATAGTGGGTGTCTTCTGCCATTTGGGCCATGCCAGCTGTCAGACGAGTGCCTGGAGGAGGGGAGATGAGAGTTAGAGACCAGGTAGAGACCCACAGCTTCCCACACTTCATCTACAGCGATTTTCACAAATGGTCTTCTCCGTAGGGCTGCCATCAATCTGAGGTCAGGGCCGGGCACACCTGGCACTCAGAGAACCCTGGATAATGTCTGTTCCGAGAGGAATGTGCATTGTCCTCCTCTGGAATGCTTTCAACACCCCTCTGCCTGGCAAACTCTTCTATCTGACCTTTGAGGCCCACCTTAAATGGTACCCTAGATGAAGCCTGCCAAGATTGACAGTGTTTTATGTTCCCACGGCCCTTGACCTCTTCTTCTCTCCTTGTCACAATGTACTACAAAAACTAGCCTTCATGTCTATCTCTCCAAACTGAACTGGACTGGGAGCTCCTCCAGGACAAGAACATATCACATTTCTCTGCGTTTCCTTAGAGCCTAAAAGCAGTCTAGTTCATAGTAGGCACTCAGTAAAGGTATTGAAGGAACCATCGAAATCTTAAGTTCACCAGAAGAAGCCTGGAAATAAATAAAATCTACACAGTAAAGAAAATGATCATAGTTGGCATTTTTTGTGGCATCAACCTGGGCATCTCACGTGGGTGGCAGCTGGTCTTTAGGAACAGATTCTAAAATGTGAATAGGCTCCAATGTGTACAAGCAACCAGGATGATCAATTTGTGCCACTCTGTTCTAGCTGGTATGCTAACAGTTGTAGTATCTCCTCTCTCATTTGATGCTAAGATAGACAGCATAATGCTTTTTGCAGAGAATTCTCTATTAGGGGGTCAATAAACATTTTTTTTTTTTTTGGTAAAGGGCTAGATATTAATTATTTTAGGCTTTGCAGGTCATGCAGTCATTGTTGCCTACTCTGCCAGATAGTGTGAAAGTGGGCATACACCATCTGTAAACAAAGGCACAGCTGGGTTCCAATAAAACTTTGTTTACAAAAACAGCCAGTGGGCCTGATGTGAACTGCCAGTCTCTGCTCTATGCTAGCTAAAATCCTTTGTCTTCTTTCCAGGCACAGAGTTAGGCCAATTTCCCAGTTTCACTGCAATTAGACATGATCGTATAAGTTCCAGCTAATGTAAATGGATGTCACTCTGAGGCCTGGCTCTTAAACACCTCCTCACACACCTCCACACACGCTCCCTACCCACTGGCTGGGAATGAATTGAGGCTCTAGGGGATGACAGAGGTCAAAGGTGGAAGGAAGTTGTCTCTTGGAGAAGAGCTGCCTGGGAAGACCACCCAGACAGAAATATCCTTGCTGGAGCAAGACAAACTTGATCGGGCTCAGACACTGAAGTGCAGATCAAGTGCGTTGCAGCAGTTAGCTTGCCCTGACCAGTCCAGTAACATCTTTCTACTGTTGTTATTATTTCTCTTTTTTAAAAAAAGATTTATTAAATTTTCTTTATTCATTCATTTATTTTAATTTGGTCAGAGAGAGACACAAGTGGGGTGGGGGGCGGGGAGAGAAAGAAGCCACCAAGTCCAGGACCCTACCATGGTCAGTCATGTGGGAGCGCCCAGTGTCTTAACCACCATGCCTCCTGCTGGCCCCTGTTATTGTTATTTCTAATAATGCCTCTCTTCCCATTTCCTAATCCTTAGAACCTAGGAATTTTACCTAACATGGGAAAAGAGATTTTACAGGTGTGATTAAGGATAAGGCCTGAAGATTGGAAGAGTTTCCTGGATTATCTATGTGGGCTCCATGTAACACATGCATCCCTAGAAGGCCCTTTCCTGGCTAAAGTTAGAGCCAGAGGGACAGGTAATTACAGAAGAATGGTCAGAGATAATGCAGTGCTGCTAAACTGCAAGACAGAGGCAAGGAGCACAAGTCAAGGAACGTAAGCAGCTTTTAGAAGCTGGAAAAGGCAAATAACTGGGTTCTTTGTGACAGCCCCAGAAAGAAACGCAGCACCGCCAGGATCTTGACTCAGCCTGTTAAGAGCTGGGTCAAACCTTGCCCTACAGATCTGTAAGATAATATATTTGGTTGTTTTAAGCCACCAAGTTTATGGTAATTTGTTATAGCAGCAAGAGAAAAAGAATACAACTTGCTCCAAACCAAGAGAATAGGGCAAAGGTGATGGGATATCACTTCTGTGTTTAGGTTCCATAAGATAATGTGCATCTTGTTAGCAGATTCTCTCTACTGCCTTCTTGGCTTGCAGGTGCTAACAAAGCCAGTGGTCATGTTGGAGAGGCCCACATGGCAAAGAAATGAGGGTGGCCTAGAGCCACCGGCAGGTGAGGAACTGAGGGCCTCAACCCAAAAGCCCTCCAGGAATTGAAGTCTACCAACAGCTACAGGAACTTGGATTCTTGTCCAGTTGAGCCTTCGGATGAGAACTGAGCCCTGACCCCACAAAACTGCAGTCTTGTAAGGGAACCTGAGGCAGAGGACCCAGGTAAGCCATGGATACTCCAGACCCATGGAAATGTGTGTGGTTTGAAGTCACTAAATTCATGTGATTTGTTATGCAGCAATATATCTACTTAATACCCCTACCTAGATTTCCTGGATACCCTGGGACTCAGGTGGTAACTCACACAGCAGAACAGGAAACAGCATGGCTTCTGTTAGCTCTGTGTACAGAAAAGTCAGCAGCACACATGGAAACAGACACATATGATGGATGCTGGGGACGTGGCCCTTGAAGGTGGGCTGGAACCTCCATCCCTATCCAGGGGCTCCATTTTAGCATATTCCTCCCTGCTCCAAGCTCAGAAATAACAATAATGGCAAGCAGAGAACTGCGAGTATTACAAGGATTCACTCATTTAACCCTCACAATGACTCCACAATGCTGATAACATGCCTACAAAGCATTTACTATAAACCAGGAATGAGTTAAACATTTTATACATCACTTTTTTATTTTAAAGGTTTTTGCCATAGGGCACATGTGCTCAACAGAAAGAGAGAAAGAGAGAGAGAGACAGAGAGAGAGAGACAGAGAGAGACAGAGACAGAGAGAAAAAGAGAGAGAGAGAAAGTGAGAAATTACCCCTCCAGGGTGAATGGCCATGCCACAATCTGTTTTCTTCTTAGGATTCTGGGTATGTTTGCAGGTGTGCTTGGCATGATTTTCAAACTGCTGAGTTCAGGATTTGAACCACAGTTGGCTATGTGGGAATCTAACAACTTAACTACCACACCATGTGCTGGCCCCTAAATATCACTCTTAATGTTTAATACTATTGTTCCCATTTTGTAGATAAGGAAGCTAAAAGCAGAGAAGTGAAACAACTTGCCCCAAGTAATTTAGCTAGTAAAATGGTAGAGCAGAGATTTTTGAAATTCTATCTGGCTCCAAAATCCATGATCTTATGGGTCAAAGAACTAAGCCACAAGGTCATGAGCCAGCACATGATGAAGCTGGGAACCTGAGCTGTTCAATTCTCAAGAAAATTCTGTGAGGAAGGATTTACTATCCCCCTCCCCCATAGGTGAAAGAACCCTACAACTTTACAGAAGGTAAGGACATATCTTTCTCATTTGTTCTATTGGGTCTTTGGAAAAGTCACGTCGTACTTTTCTATGTATGTCTATGCAAAAATGTGTCATGACTTTTCTTAGCCCAGTAATTTTGAAGTACTTCTTCCTAGGCCTGTCCTAAAGGAAAAGCAATGATTTAAGAGTTGTTCTTCGTCTCACAGGCTGCACCATGGTTTCCCAACCATTCCTTCCCCTCTAATTTTAATTTGTTCCTCATAATTCTGTGAGGCAGACAGGACTGTGACCATTTTCCCTACTTCTCACCCTCCTATTTTGCTGATGAGGAAAATAAAGGCAAGATAATAACTGAAATGACTTGCTCCAAGTCCCATGGGCAGTCATTGTGCAGACAGGGCTTAAACTCCAGTCAGTATCGGTGCCCTTTTCTGTGTGCCATTCTTTATATACAAAAATGCTTTATCTCACATATTCCTCACAATCCTATCACATGAGGTTTTTACAGATGAATAAAGTGAGATTTCAGAGGTTAAGTGACTTGTCCAACAGTACACAGTAAGTGGCTGTGTTGACCAGAACACTCTTTGGCTTCAAGAGTGAGGACTACATCAGCTTTTTAGACCTTTGTATCCACAGGCCCAGCTCAGTCCTTGGTTTATAATGAATATCCCTCCCAGTTTGTTCAGTGGCCGATGGCACTCAGAGACCTAGTGGCTTGGCCTCAACCAGTCAGGATAGTTCTTATCTCTAGTCTCCCACAGGGTTCATAAATGTTTTATGTTGGCCTGAAAGTCTTCTTGGAGGCTTTTGCAGTCAAACCTTCCAGCATGGTCTTATCCACTAGCTTGTGTAAGATAGCACACAAGACCCATAGACTGAGTGGCCTCACAGCTCATCCCCTGGGTCTTATGCGAGTCTTACAAAGAAACAACAAGGTATCATCTTGAGCATCCAAAGATTGGAGAGGTCTTATGTCCTGGCTTCTCATAAAGGCCTATAAGAGGGGCTCCTGAGAGCACTTATTTGCCTTTGTACAAAAGTGGCTTCCACTGAGGCCTCATGTACCTGATTTGAAAACTAGTCTCTAAGTGACATAAAATGGCCTCCCAGAGGACTTCAAATGGGCTACAAACTAGTTCCCTGGGATGTAGATTACGGACTTTATAATCTTGGGTTCCAGGGTGTCCTTATAAAATGGCCCCTTGCAGGGCTCATTCTGGCCTTACAAAGCCAGCTTCTCAATGAGGGTTCACGGGTTGCTTTGTAACCTAGGTTCCCCCAAGTGACCTCAGGTACTGCTTTGCAAACTGGCCTCCAAAGTGGCCTCCCGTGCTGCTTTATAACCTGGCCTCTCAAGGTGGTTTCACATCTGGTCTTCATAAAGTAGCCTCATTAGGCGGCCTATGTACTATTTTGCAAACGGGCCTGGGAAAGGACCTCATATTGAAGACCATGTATAAAATCATTCTGGAAAAGGGTCTCAAGTTGGGCTGTATAAAACTGTCTCGTCTTTGCCACATGAAATAGCTTCAGTAAAACTTTTTTAAAAAATGCATTTTTCTGGGACCAGCACTTAGCGTAATGGCTATGTCGCTGGACTCCCATGTAGTCGTCCGCAGTTCGCGTCCTGGACCCGGTGGCTTAAAACTCACGCTGGGCACGTGTGTGTGCGTGTCCAAGATCCCGAGAGGAGAATGGAGGAGAAGGGATTGTGGCGTGGCCATCCCCCCTGGGTGGTGATTCTTGCTTTCTGTCTCCCTGTCTCTCTGTCTGTCTGGCAAGCGCATGTGCCTTATAGCAAAAACCTCTTCAAAAAAAAAAAAAAGCATTGTTTTTTAGTGAACGTCCTCATAAAAAATCCTTCAGAGATCCTTATGATGGTGCTGTATAACAGTCTCCTAGACATGGGAGTTTCAGGACAGCTGTGACTTTCAGTTTTCAAAGTAGCTTTTCATGGGCCTCTGTATTAGCCACTTGAAATGGCCTCTCAAAGGCCTCCCAATTGATCTTAAACACTAGCGTCCTTCAGGGCCTTATGTTGGCAGAATGAAGAAACTTCCCATGGTGAAGTGGCATGCTGGCCATATCAGTTTTACAGCCTGGTTGCACAGACTTCCCAGAACCTCACACTTTGGCCTTTTAAACAGTTGCCACATCAAACGGCCTTAGGGAAAGGAGCCACATCCTGGCTGAGGAAAGCCTTCCAAAGTAGCCTATGACCCGTTTTAAAAACCAGCCTTCTTATAGATTGGGGCTTGTCTGAAAGTCAGGTTAAATTGGGTCTTGTCCTAGTTCTACAAACCAATCTTCTGTGGTTTCTTCGTAGTGCTGGGAAAGTTTGCTATATCAATCAACCCTCTGGGAAGCAGCCTCATGTTGGCTCCTGTTAGCCATGTGATATGGCCCATAGGAGAATGAGCCTTAGGCCGGGTTAAACACTTTCATGTTGGCTCTCCCGAAGAATCTTCTAGAGGAGCTGGCCTCATATGGGCTATTACGAAATAGACTCTACACAAGCAACCATTTGAAATGGCCATCCAGTGAAGTCAAGTTTAGGTTACATGAAACTGCCTTTCTAAACAGCCCCATGACCAGGCTTTACAAATCCGTCTGTTATTCCCCCACATACCTGTCTGATTAGAAAGGCTTCTTCATACTGTATGAAGCAGCTTTCCAGAAGGGAGCAGTCTGAGTATCTTGGTAGCCAAACTTTATTGACTGGTCTTCTGGAACCCCTCACTCAACTGTCTTTTATAAAAAGTATACTAAACAATACTCTGGAGCGAGTCAAGTATCAAGAAGTGTACTATAGTTTGGATGATCCCCCAAACTTTGTGTGTTGGGACTTAGTTGTACTAAGTGAAAACTTAATCCCGTCATGGTGTCCCAGGATGCTCCTTTGGGTGTGATAAGGTCATGAGGTTGGGGCCCCTGTGATTGAGTTCTGGTGGGTTCACTCAAAGGGAAAGGGAAAGGAGATCAGAATTGGCAGAAACTTAAAGGCAGTCACTCTGCTCAACATCCTGCCCTCTGCCAAGTTGTAGCCTCATCAGCTGGCCCTAAACCTTCAAACTGTGGGCTGAATGAACTTTGATTCTTATGAATCACCCACTTTCATGCATGGTCTAATACAATGTATGAAAGTCTTTTAGAATGGTACCACAGACTGGCTTTTAAATTGCCCTCCCAGAGCTCCATATAAAAGGGTTTGCTGTGAGTTGTACAGACAGCTTCCTAGTGGTCAAGTATTGGTGAGTTAACTATATAATTTACCATCCAAATTAGGATGCTATTAATATTTATGACTGGGGCCGGCCCCACAGCCTAATGGTTAAGGAAGGCAGACTTTACATAGCTGACCTCAGCTTGAATCCTGGCCCCAGCTGCTTGAAAAACACACCAGGCACACATATGTGTGTCCACATCCCACTTTGGGGGATGCTTTCTTCATCTCTCACCAGCAACTGCATACACCCTCTGGTGATGAAAAGGCATTTATTCCCGAACAAGTAAGAAACTGACAAGCATATTCCAGGCAAACTGACCCCTAGAGTCACCAAACATGGGCCATATGAAAAAGCCTGAGTGGTCTTTATTCTCACTTCACAAGTCAGTCTCCCAGAACTCAATGGATATTGGCCTTAAAGGACCATTTGTCGGTTACAGAAGCCTTTTTCTGAAGGTAGACAAACAGCCTGAGTGGTCATGCCCTGACTTTGTAAACTGGCCTTCCAGGGTGCCACCTGTAGTGACCTCATGAAATGGGACAGCTTTTAAGGGAAGGTCAGGTACTGACTGCATAAAATAACTTTCCTCAGGGGCCTTAACAATTCAGCCCCTAAAAACGCCTTACATAAAGGCTTGTTGGTGTATGAGATGATAATCTTGAAAAGGGGGTCAGGATAAAGGCTGTATGAGCTATCCTCTCAGAACAGTTTATTCTGGCTTTATAAATCAGCCTAAGATGAACCTTACAAAAGGCTGATCTTTGGTGGTATGAAGCAGAAAGAATCCAAGTACACGCTGTATATAACAGTCCTAATGGACTCAGGTCTTGGTTTCATAAACCCACCATGAAGATTTCACTATATAATCTAGCCTTCAGTTTGCTGTTTAATAAACAGCCTAAGTAGGTGCCTGTTGGTTGGAAGATACATTCTTCTAGGAAGCTACCCTACCACCATTCCGGAATTCTCCTAAAACAATTTTTAGTTTTTTTTTTTTTTTAAGAAGTATTTATGGGGACCAGCAGTTAGCATAATGGCTATGTCACTGGACTACCATGTGGTTGACCGTGGTTTGAGTCTCAGACCCAGTGGCTTAAACTCATATGTCAGGTGTGTGTGCGTGCGTGCTTAAGATCCTGAGAGGAGAATGGAGAAGGGATTGCAGTGTGGATATCCTCCCTTGGGGGGTGATTTCTTGCTTTCTATCTCTCTGTCTCTGTCTTTCTGGTGAGCATATGTGCCCTATAACAAAACTCTTTTATTATAATTATTATTCTTTAATTTGACCAGAGAGAGGAAAGAGCGAGAGAGACAGAGAAAAAGGGAAAGTGAGAAAGCAAGCCACCTGGTCCAGGACTTGAACCGTGGTCAGTCATGTGGGAGTACAGCACCACAATCACCAAGGCACCTGTTGGCCCCCATGATTTTCAGTTTTTTTGATTGCTAGAGGGTAGTGTCCTCACCAGAGACAGAAAAAGCACACTCTGGTGGGGGGGGTGGTCATGCTGCAATCTCTTCTTGTCTTTTGGGAGTTGGGGCATAAATGGATACACATGCCCACTGGGTTTTCTGTGCTAATGAAGTGGGATTGGTACCTTGGCCAGCCACGTGGGATCCAGCTCCCTTAACCTTTAGGCTACTGGGTCACCCACTTAGGTTATTTTTAAAAATGAGCTCCTGAAAAGCACACCAGAATAGCTGGCTCAGTAAAATTGGCTAAGAACCTTACCATGATTCCCAGAGGATCTCAGGTTGGTCATAAACAGCAGTCACCATGCTGGTCACTAGAAAGGCTTCCCAAATGGGTTCCAGGATATAAAGGTCTCTTTCTGGCTTTTGGGAAGGGAATGCCTAGTTTTGCAATTTTTTTCACTTTTATTGAGGCAGTATTACACAAAAAAGAGACAATCGACAGTCTTGCGGAACTTCCCGGTAAGGTTTGGGACATTTCTCATTGACCGCCTTATCCAATGGCACAAGTTGTGAGGCTTTGCCAAGGGCCACACAGACAGACTCAGGTTGGGCCCAGGGTGTGACCTTAAGCTTTCTACCTAACCTTTCTGAGCACGGTGACTTACTGTTGGTGGCTTCTGAGGAAGGCAAAGTACACTAATGCTGAGTTACTTCTTGCCGCATTACAAAAACGTCTCCTCCAAGCGCTCACACACCTGAGCCCACCGGGTCCCCACGCCAACCTTCCAACCCGAGGCCTCACCCTTCCTCTCCCAAGTCCCTTCCCTAGGGCTGCATTTCTCGAGGCTCATTCAGAATCCCACGGCTCAAACGGCCCCATTCTGTTCAACTGCAAGTCGACGAAGTACAGAGAACCCCGAGCAATAAAAATACGACAAACGCAGAGTCGAGGGTCACTCTAGAGTCACACGAAACAGACACTGAACTGCACAAACGCAAAATGGCGTGCCACAGGACGGCAGCACACATGCGCGGAACCACTGTCATAGCACACTACGCAGGCGCGAGTTTCCCTAGCTGGCGCAGCAGGAGCCCAAGAGTGGTGGCTAAACTACGTTCGCAGAGCGCATGAGCGTGGCTCGAGTCGTTCTGGATCTCTAAAGCGCATGCGTGAGCGTCCTTTCCTCCCTTTCCTGTTAGCATGGTGTGTGGTCAGTGCTTCCCTCCCTGCCCGACCCCTCCACGTCTAAGGAGGCAGAACTGCCCACGTTCTCGAGTTGCTCAGACGAACCTCTTGTGTTTGGACGGTGTCGCGTCGCCCTGGGCCTGGCGACGATTTGTTCCGTTTGGTTCGGGCACTGTGGCTGTCTCCTGCCAGTCGGAGGCTCGCACAAGGAGTATCGACCATTCACAGCTCGCCTGATCACGCCTCAGAGCTGAGCGGAGTGCCGAGTGATCGATGTTTCGGCCCCGCCCTCTTAAGAGACCCGAGGGCGGGGCGGCCTGGAAGGGTTGTGCTTGTCCCGCTGTTTTGTCACTGGAGCGTGACGCCTGATTCTCTGCACCAGAAACTTACACGAAGCAGTTTTGGATCCACGATTTTATCTAACACTTAACTGGAAGTATTAGCCATCCCTATTTTAGAGAGAAAAAGTTGAGGCCACTGAAATGAAGCGGCCACATTCGTGTACTTTAGGAAAGTCACAGATCCAGAATTTGAACCCAGGAGCGATTGCTGCATCTGCGGCCTGTTTGAGCAAGGAGGACCTGGGTTTCAATGCTGACTGGTAGGCGAATAGCCAGAGAAATGCTTGTGTCAGCTCCCCCTCAGTTGGGGGTCGAGGGGAGTTCTGTGTTTGAACACACGCTCCCTGTGGTCCCCAGGGACACCCGCCTTTTCTGGCGTTAAACTGAGGCTGTAGGAAGTTTTGCTGCTATTGGGCGTGGATCTGAGTAGAAAAGGGAAAGAATTCACTTACTGCTGGCCAGGGACTGTCTGGGCCTCTTAGACTCCTCAGTCTTATTTCATTCTCACAGCAATCCTGTGAAGTAAAGTGGAGGTTGCTGTGTATGTGTTTTAAATAATTATTTAATTTTTAAAATTTATTTTAATTTGACCATAGACAACAGAGCAAGAGAGACAGAAAGTGAGAAAGCAAGCCACCAGGTCAAGGACTTGAACTGCGGTTGGCCATGTGAGAGTCGGTGCCCTTAATCACCAAACCACCTGCTGGCCAGTTACTGTGTTTTAGATACACAGGAGGAAATAGGCTTTCTGGGGCCTATTCAACAGATAGGGGAGTCTGCTGTGCTAACTTAAAAAAGGAGGCACTTAAAAAATATCAAAATTGGGACCAACAGATGGCGTAATGGTTACTTCTCTGGACTTGCATCGTCAGCTATGGTTCCAGTTCCAGTTCCAGACCCAGCAGCTTAAAATTCACCAGGCATGTGTGCATATGTGCCCCAAATCCCCAAATCCCGAAGAGAATGGAGAAGGGATTGCAGTGAGGCTCTTCTCCCTGGGGCTGATTTCTCACTTTCTGTCCCTATCTCCCTGGTGAGCACAAGTGCCCTGTAGCAAAAGTGCTCTTAAAAAAATGAAATCAAAATCATAACTAATATCAGATGATTACCTCCAGTTTCGGGAGGAGGGAAGTAAAACACAAAGTTATTTTATTATTTTATTTAACTGTATTTGATACTGTTATTTTTCCGTTTGATCAGAGAGAGAGAGGGAAAGTGTGAAAGCAAGCCACCAGGTCTGGGACTTGAACCGTGGTCAACCATGTGGGAGTCCAGTGCCTTTAACCACCACAACACCTACTGCCCCTAAAGCACAAAGTTCTTATAGCCCACTAGACTCACCAAGGTGCTGGTGTTTGAATCCAGCATCACAGGTCCAGAGTTACATGTTTGTGTGTCACCAGGTTACTTCTCTTAGTAGTGACATTGAACTTTACATGAGCTCTATGGTCCTGGAAAACAGTAAAGGTAAAGAGAATTCTTACCTTTCTGTGTTCCGAAAAAGAGATTACTGCAAATACCCACCCTTTCTCTTAGGACTTAGACAAAACTCAAGGATGGTCCCTTATTTACCTATGGCAAGGGCACACACAGATCCTCCAATTCCCACTGTATACCTGGATTATGTGGCTAAACAGATTGCCCCACTAATCATGGGAACAAAATGCTTATGAACCAAACATTGTTTCCATTTTTGCCCATCTTCAGGACCCTGAGGTTTAGCTAACGCCAACACCCCCCCACACACACACACACACATACTCACCTCACAGTCAGACAGCCCTCCCTGGGAATACTCTGGCCCCCGGGTAAAATGATCTGGGACCTATTACCCATCAGATCACTCTTTTATCCTACTCCTGGTGGTTCTTTCTAGCTTGATTTTCTCCCTCTAAAAGAAAAGCTAACACTCTCTTATTTTTAAGCTTATTTATCATTTTTTTCCAGGGAGAAAGAGACCCCCCGACACCCCCAACAGGGCCTTCATGCTGTCATCCACCTCCAGCTTCAGCCTGCGTCAGTCATGGGCATGTGTGCATGCCCGGTACATTGAGGTAGGCCCTTGAAAGCTGGAACCTTCCCATGTGGACCCAGTTACAGTACCACCACACCACTGTCTGACTCCAAAGGCAAGCTCTTTTGCCTGATTCTCCAGGTGCTTGCAGACTGTGTGGCCACAGCACTCTCTCTATTGCAATAGTCTCTCTGTTCCTATAGCAATAGCCTCTTTCCTCCCTTGGAATAATTCTTTCAGATAAAAATCTCTTTACTAAGTCTGAATTTATGTATCATTTGACAGTGGATAGGTAGTTACCGTGCAGAGATTCTAGAGTGTTTCTCTTTTTGCCCATCTTCAGGACCCTGGGGTTTAGCTAACGCCAACACCCCCCCCCCACACACACACACACATACTCACCTCACAGTCAGACAGCCCTCCCTGGGAATAAGCTGGCCCCAGGGTAAAATGATCTGGGACCTATTACCCATCAGATCACTCTTTTATCCTACTCCTGGTGGTTCTTTCTAGCTTGATTTTCTCCCTCTAAAAGAAAAGCTAACACTCTCTTATTTTTAAGCTTATTTATCATTTTTTTCCAGGGAGAAAGAGACCCCCCGACACCCCCAACAGGGCCTTCATGCTGTCATCCACCTCCAGCTTCAGCCTGCGTCAGTCATGGGCATGTGTGCATGCCCGGTACATTGAGGTAGGCCCTTGAAAGCTGGAACCTTCCCATGTGGACCCAGTTACAGTACCACCACACCACTGTCTGACTCCAAAGGCAAGCTCTTTTGCCTGATTCTCCAGGTGCTTGCAGACTGTGTGGCCACAGCACTCTCTCTATTGCAATAGTCTCTCTGTTCCTATAGCAATAGCCTCTTTCCTCCCTTGGAATAATTCTTTCAGATAAAAATCTCTTTACTAAGTCTGAATTTATGTATCATTTGACAGTGGATAGGTAGTTACCGTGCAGAGATTCTAGCAGGTGGGCACTAGGCCCTGAGTTGCCCAGGCAGGCTTCATGGCAGGAGCTGAAGGAGATTTCATCGTAGGGCCCCCTCATTCCAGAAGACCTTTTCCACAGTGATCAGGGATGGGGTTCTGCTGTTAACAGGGAGTATGGCGTGCTGCCAGTGAGGCACAGACAAATGTCTCTTTTGCCAGCTTGTTTCTGTTTACAAAACTGGCTTGTTGAGATGAATTATAAGCCCAGATGAAATATTTTCTTAAAAAAACACACACACACAATCTCACACCGTAGGTTTCACTTCATCTGGTCTCACCAACCTCCGCCTTTCCCCTATTCCCAGCAGCCTTGGAATTGGCCATTTTGCTGACAGACCCATTTGAGTGCTGCAAAAGGCACTGAACAAAACAAAAGACATCGTTTATGCCCATATTTGTGATTTTTCTCCATTTGATCAGAAGCCTGTAATTTCAGTATATTCAAGTGTTCTGGGAACATTTGCAGCTTAATTATCACATTTATTTAAAATATACACATACGAACAGAATTCCAAACTTGAAAACAACACGATGCTTGGCCATGGAAGAGACATTTAATTTTCTCTGATTGTATTGTGCAAAGATGGGCATGACAACCTCCCACATCCTATCTTCCCCCCGTCCTACCTGGGTCACCCACTGTGTGATGTAGGGCTGCTCATTTACCTGCTCTGTGCCTTTATTCTGCTTTAGCATGTGACCTTTGCTGCCTCAGCAAGGAGCTAGTCTGCCTAAAGTGACTGTGAAGACTGGGAACAAAAAATGCGGCGTTTTGGCGAATGGGTTTCTCTCAGAATTTAAGCAAAAAAACTCTGGACATAAAGTCGGGCAGAGGAGGAGACTCACTGTCTCTCAGAGCCTCAGTGTCCTCTATGTGATGGACACAGTGATCTACCTCCTTGCGAGAGCGTGAGGGTTAGACAAGACAGCTGCCATCTCAAGCTCTACCCCTGTTCTGTCTGTCCCAAGTCATGGTCCCACCTTCCCCATTCACCTGCTGGTGATGGCATACGGTGCCCTCCCTGTTCCATGTTGAGAGCAAGGACACCTAAGGGCAGTGCAGTAGGAGCGTGGGAGCAATGTGGAGAAGTGGGAGCAGATAATATTGGGGCCAAATCTTATCAGACTTTGCTGGTGTTGTTAGGGCTTAGGCTTTTACTGTGGGTGAAATGGGGAGCTCCTGAGGGTCTTAGACAGAGGAGTGATGTGACTTGAGTTAGGTCTTAGGAGCTCACAGTCTAGAGGGGAAGCCAGATGAGGGAGAATTTAGTAAAGAACAATAAATAGCAATAACTGTGAGGTGTGGCAGGGCAGGCGACATACAGGGAACCAGAGGCTCAGGTCACAGGTTCAGACCAAAGACCAGGAGAGGTGCAGCAATTTTCAAGAACGGCCATAAACACTTTGACTTGCCTCCCATTGAAAGATGTGGTCTGTGCCCTGCCCCTTGAGTCTAGCAGGCTGTGACTGCTTTGACCAATAGAATATGGCAGAAGTGACAGCAGGGGCTTTGGAGGCAGGGCCAGAGACGGTGATGCAGCTTCTGCTTTGTTACTGGAGCACTCAGGAGCCTGGAGCTGCCCTGTAAGGAGTCTGACCGCCCTTCAGTCTGACCTTCAGGTCATCCCAGCCCAGGTATCTGTGAACGAGCACCCCCAGCCATATAAAATTTCTTTAAAAGTTAATGGAAACGGCACATGATGGGAAAACTATGCTTGGGGACTGGCAAGTGGTGTGGTGGTTAAGCCACTGGACTCCCACAGGTCTGACCACAATTTGAGTCCTGGACCTTGTGGCTTGTTTTCTCACTCCCCCCCCCCAGTCAAATTAAAAAATAATGATAATAATAATAATAATAAACCCGTTAAAAAAGAGAAAAAGTTATACATGGATTTCAACAATTTT